TAATTATATATTAAAATACTAAATATTAAGGAAAAAGTCAGAAAATAAAAAATAAAAGCAAAAAAAAAAGAATTATACATATATACATTTTTTGTTTTTATTTTCTGACTTTGTCCTTAAAATAAAGGAATTATATTACAAAGGGTATTATTTTTGTGCTGAATTTTATTAAAGGTAAAATACAGATCAGTGCTTTTTATTCTTCTTTGTATTTTCAAGCCTGGGCATTTGAAATCTTTTGCATTATGCTACCATTTCAGATGCTTTTACAAAGCTTTTCCCACCAGAATGTTAGAGAGCATGCGTTCTGTTGTTTTGTGTGTGTGTGTGTGTGTGTGTGTGTGTGTGTGTGTGTGTGTGTGTGTGTGTGTGTGTGTGTGTGTGTGTGTGTGTGAGTGTGGGTGTGTGTGTGTGTGTGTGTGTGTGTGTGTGTGTGTGTGTGTGTGTGTGTGTGTGTGTAAATATGTGGGTATGTGTGAGTGTGGGTGGATCTCAGTCCAGTCTCAAGTGTAATGGGAAAAAAGATTCTTCCCTTTGAACAGACGGAATCTCTTCCAATCTCCTAAATGCAATTATGTTATTCTGGCAAGGCTCGCCTAAATGATGATTCCAGTTCAACCAAAGGCCAACTGCACCCAAAGATTAATAAATGACCAGTAAGAAAATGATTACTCCATTGCGTGGACTAACAAGACATTAACCCAACAGAGAATTGCCTTCCTTTAATGGCACAGTCTCTTTGATTTTATTTTGTCAGTAGGTCCAATAATTCTTTTATAGGACTATTTGCTATTTAAATCCATGCGGTAACTCAGAAATAAATGTTTAGATGTGCACTGACAGTCCTGTCATTTACGATGTCTATTCAAGTGGTGTTGGTTTCATTTGCTCAGCAGAGGAAAAGAGATCCAATACATTGGGAATATTGTGCTCATGACGTTACGCAGGCCACGTCTCTTTTACTGAAGCTCAAAGTCATTCGGTAAGGCATTGCAAACATTTTTCCACCTCTAAAGTGATACTGAGTCAAGAAGAATCCCTCTGCTCTTGCCTGTGTTATTGACATGCCATCCAGTGTTGTAGATGAGGCACAACTTATGTAAATATTTGCATCCTCCAAGTAAGGAATTGCACCACTATCTTGTTCTCATCTGATGTACCTGTTTTTTCTTCTTCTCTCATTCTCACCCTGTCAATCACGCCTTTGTTTCCCCTCAGTGCTCCGGTTGACAAACAAAGGCATGCATGTGCTCTGTTTTCCCGGTTTCACACCGTGTTCTCCCTCAGCCTCTCTTATCTTATTAGAAGAAGGTCCTGTGTGAGGTCACAGTACATTTAATTGTCCCTGTTTCTGCAGAAACATCCTCATCTGTCAATCAAGCGCTGTCAATCAGAGCGTAAAAGTGTCCAAATCCACCCCAGGTCACACTCATGCTGGGTGTGCGTTCACAGTCTAGTGCCCCCCAGAGGAAAGGGTTTTTATAAAGGTTCTTATTGATTGTTTGCAGAGGGATCTGCTTGAATGAGGGCTTTAACCTTCTGTATTGTGTGGTGAGTGATCTGTGTTTGTCTGGTTGTGTGTAGGGCAGTGTTTCCCAACCCTGTTCCTGGAGGCACACCAAGGCTGCAATCAGAATTGCAATATAAGGATATAGTGTATAATGGGGGCAGTTATATCGATATGTGCTCTTTCCTTTTTTCATTGTCCTTGGGCAATCACATGCTTGAGACTCTGTGACCAGAAATGAATGGGTCAGATGAGGCAGACATCCAAAATGTGTATCGTTGGTGTGGCGCCAAGAAATAGAGTTGGGGAAAAATGGTATAGGACTATATTGCAAAAGAATTTCTGCTCTGTCAGCTTTTGATGTTGAAAATTCGACTCTACAGATTAAAAGTGACTTTTATTGACAGTTTAATAGTTTGAAATAATATAATGATAAAAAATAATATAGAGAAATCATCTGTAAAATAGAAGATGTACAGGCAGTTTATTAAAAGGTTTTGTACCGTAATATACAACACTAATCCAGACAATATATCACTTTAAACTATTAAAATGTTTTACTGATGCCCTTCCAGCTGCAACCCATCTCTAGGAAAAATCCATA